GCGGCAGTCGCAATAGATTGATAATGGCTATGGCATAGATGATGCATTCCACAGCCAAGGCGCACCGCGTCTCTGTCCCGACAGGTGTCACACGAATATATATATTGTCACAGAACTATTGACTAAGAGCGTAAGCACGTGAAGTAGAAGAAGAAATAAGATGAGCGAAGAAAAGAAAATTCAAAAGGACAGACAGGCAAAGAGACAGACAAACCAGAATGACACAAAACAGTGTCCTCTTATTCTTTGTTTCACTGTATTCTTATTTCTTTCAGTGTTTTACAAAAAAAAATACACTGAACAAGGGATAAAAATAAAAATATATATATCGTCATTAAAAAATATATATACATATATATATTGTATATATCGTCAAACAGTATATGTATGTGTGCAAGTGTGCCGCTTCAGTGGGTGTGTGGGCTCTTGGTGCTGAACCACACAAACGTGGCCAACCTTGCATCTTCTACTAATACTGTTTCTCTATTTTTTTGTTTTATGGATGGTTTGTGATGATTCTTGGACGGAATGAGAGAGAGAATTTGTTTGTTTTTTTTTTTAACACACACACGTGAAGCACGCGGTGCCAGACAAGAAACCGGCAAAAAAAGGGGTAAGGAGAAAAGAGGGACAAATATCTATAGGGTTCCCTTTCATGATGAGAAATTGAGAATACAGACATTGCCATGCAGTTCCGAGGCAAAAAAGGAAGAGAAGAGCCCGTTCCTTTTTTGTTTGATGATAAAAAACAGTGAAACGTGTAGCTAAGTCGATCGGAGAAGGGAAGAATGAGGGGACCTTCTTCCTTTATACTGCATCACGTGTCGTGAGGGATAAGGGCCATGATGGGGGACTGGAGGTGGCGCCGGAGTTGGGGCAGCAAGAAAAGGGGGACGGCGTAATTGAATCAAGATTCAGAAACATAGTTGCCCAATTTGCTCCACACTCCTGGTTGACTGCACTGGATACTGGTGAGATCAAAGGACCGTGGTTTGTCCCCTGCCCCCTGGCTCAGAGACAACAGACAAAAGTCGCAGAGCCCCGACTTTGACTTGATCTCACAATTCAGACCCTCCAATCCTTTCCCCCGCTCACAAACTGCAGAGGAAGTGCCCACACATGGAGAGAGGAAAAGTTCAGAAAACCAATCAAGGTTAAACCACCAGTATACATGCCTCACATAGGCCGCAGGGCCCCCCTGCCAGAGGCCGAAACGCGACGCTGGCCGCCTAATATTTTACCGACAGCGCGCGGGCGCCAACTTTTTTTGCACCCGGCGACGAAACATTTTCAGCAAGGCTGGGGCCGTGTACTGGCGGTTTAAGACGCTGACCACAGTGATACCGGGGGGTGAGTGAAAACCACATCGACAATCCCTCGCTCAGCACAGCATGCCACCACAAGCAAGGTCCCTTGACCCCTCCCAGATCATTCACCAGTTTTAAAACCACTTACTGATCCATTGACCGCTTTCTTGACCTTAAACCCTACAGCCTGCCTCCCCGAATCGTAAACTGCATACCCTCCCTAAACCCTTCCTAACCTCCGAATCCTCCCTAGCCCCTCCCTAAACACCAAACCCTCCCGAAACCCTCTGTAAACCCTCCTGAAACCCTCCCTAAACCCTCTCTAAACCCTCGCTTAGCCCTTCCTCAACCCCTCCCTGAGTCCTTGACCCTAAACAAAGAACATCCTCCTGACAGCACCTGCAATAATAACCGCTTAGGATGGCCCAAAGCCCAAAGACTGCTTCTAAAGCATTGACCAGGTTTTACCTATTTCCTGTTCAGCAGGCAATTTTTCACCGTTGACCATGGGCAGTCATTTGACCATTTTACCGTTGGCTGGTCAAGATATGGCCCTGATCTGACCACAGACCATTTAGAACATTTGACCACGGACTGTTGACCTTTCACAACCCTTTTGACTGTTTTTTTGCTGTTGACCATCGACCATTTTCAGTTGACCATTCGACCACAGATATTTGACCACTTTTTGACAGTGGACTATTGACCATTTCCAGCTTACCATTTGACCGTGGACTGTCAAACCACTTTTTGACCATTTCCAGTTGACCATTTGACCATATGCACCGTTGAGCATTTGACCATGCGCTGTTGACCATTTGCCCACATCCTTAGTTTTTTTCTTCCTTCTCCTTCTTCTTATAATAGGGAAAGGATCAAAGCAATGCACTGTGTTGTGTCAAGTGCTAAGTGCATTTTTTTCAATTTCATTTCCAAATTACCTTATCCTGTGCAACATCAGGTGTTCATGCGTGGCCGAGTCTAATCGAGCCAGTTCCACTTTCCGTTGCCTATGGTAGTCCCGCATCTGGTTCTGCAAAATCGCCACTTGGCTTTGAACCCTTAGGACACGTCTCCTGTGAGCTGCATCTCTTTCCGACTTCTCGAGGGAAAATCTGTGCCACAATCCGCCAAAAAAAAACAAAGCTTTAATTTTCAATTGTTAAACCACCACTGCACCGGAGGCTAAACGTACGAGTCAAAAAAAAAAAAAAAAAAAACGTACGAGGCTAAATTTGAATCTTGCCGACCCTGGAAGCGATGGATACCGCCGATTGGAAAACTCAGGGTGGTACCGGCAGTGGCGTCCGGGCAACTTAACGGCTGGACCTGCTGCCAGCGGATGGGATGAAAAGGCGACGGTCAGTGTGGCGTTTTTAACTCATGTCAGATGCTAGCCTGACAGCAATTGATGTAGCAGCCTGAGTGAAGAGGCGGCCGTCATTGTCTCGTTTTCACTCGAGTCTCGAAATTATGGCGGCCAGGCCAGCCCTGGCCGTAATTGCGGTCAGATGAATTCCGAAAAGTGCGAGCCTGAGTACTATCCCCTGAAAAGACACGGGCTGCCTCTGAATTGATTCCACCCCGCCTCCCACGGCAAGGAGGCGGGGAGTGACTTGAGAAAGAGCATAAGGACGCAGGGACTATTTCTAGAAAGCTCTGGACGTGATTGCCTTCAGGTTCATGCAGGCCGGGCCAAACTGCAGTCAGATACGGACTTCCTCAGCCTTCTTATCGGGAACAGAAAGCATATCTGTATCTGGTCGAGGAGGTGCCCTCGATACCTCGTCGTTATCCATATCAGCTGTCTTCGGCTACAGATCGCAGGGAGACCCTAATAGCCTTTTCAGGAACGCTTGGATCCCCGGGAAAAAAAACAAAATATAAATATAAAAAATATCTATCTATATCTATCGTCACATGAATATCAGAGCGCAAAAGCGAAAAAAAGAAAAAAGAAAAAAGAAAAAAATGAATTCGTTTTTTTATCTTCTTCCTTACAACTCCCCCTGTTCAGAACCTCTTGCGTACAAGGCCGCCCACGTGGATGTAGGTATATATATTGTCACATTGTGAATCAGAGCGCAAAAAAGGGAAAAGAAAAAAGGAAAAGGAAAAAAGGGAAAGGGAAGGAGGTAAGGAAAGCTCCACCTGTTCATAACCTCTTACGTATATATATGTATGGTGATCCTCAACCAGAGGAAGCGGTTCGGGGGTGGTTTGGGAGTGGCTCGAGAGAAAGCGGGGAGGGGGAGGGGRGAGGAGGGAAAGGCGGGGRGGGGGGGKGRGACGAGGGGRGAGGGAGGRTGGGGGATACCCTCCGCCATAGGAGTTGGGAAGAGCAAGATGAAATAACGTTTCCCACAGAGAGAGAGATAGAGAGAGAGAGAGAGAAAACAGACGGTTTCCCCTCGATTCGCATGTGACACGTGGCATGATTGTTAACCAATTCTATTAAAAAAAAAAAGAGCAGCCACGTCGAGCGATACCCCCCAGGGCAGAACGGGTGTATCATTTTCATAAACAAAACAAAAAGTCGAGTTTGATAGGACACGTGGCATTTGTTTCGTCTCCAGGCCACTTAAAAGGACCAATAGGAATAAAAGGAGCAATAGGGATGTAAGAAACAAATTCATCACAGAGAGATATAAAGAATGTAAGAAACAAAATTCATAAAATCCAAAACTTGAGCATAGAGAGGAATGCAAAAGAGAAAACCAAACAGAAAAAATAAATTAGTTAAAATAACACAGAGAGGAGGGGGGGGGGGGGAGAGAGAGACACAGAGAGGAGATCCGAGATCCCCGTCGGTAGTCCATATATTTTGACTGATCTCTCTGATCAACAGTACATTGTTGAATTCAACATAATTCTGTCATCCTAATTTATGCTTGGCAAATTTCATTTCTCGATTTAATTGCGTGTCATCCTTGTGCGGGGGCCATGCTCACTTAGTGCCAACCAGCCGCGATAGTCCCCTTAATACCTCTGATCGGTATTACCAGCGTCCTTGGCCAACACGGGTGTGAGTGTGAGTGTGAGTGGGTTGTGTGCGGTGTGTGGTGTGTGGGAGAGTGTTGGCCTTAGACACTGCTGTTATTCGGTTGAGGGTGGGGAACCATGAAAAGGGAGGCGCAGCTACTACTGGCAAAATGCTCGTCTCTGCGTTAGCTGGACCCCCACCGGCGGACCCCTACCCCATACTTGACCACCATGGCCATGGTTGGGTGGGGGGCAACATGCATCCCCTCTGATGGCTGGAGGGAGACAACAAAGCTATGCTGGCAGGGGTTGTTCCCTGTATAAGGCTTAGGAGTAGTGGTAGGTAGCTAGGTAGGTAGGTAGAAGGTGAATTGAAAGAATAATTTGAAAGATGATGAAAATATTTGAGAGAAGAATATAGCGTAGTGTCTTTTTTTTTTTTTAATCTTCTATCTGTGTATCGTTCCGATTTTTAACAAATGTCGCGAAGGACGGCTTGGCAAATATTTCGGTCAGGGCAGAGCTTATATACTTATAAATTTAATAAAAAATAAATTTAGTGAAAAAGAAAACACCCTCGGCCGAGTTTCTGTGATGCATACATTTCTAGAAGGATCCACCATATTTACAGTTTAAACCAGGGTTTAAAACAGGGTTCTAATGGTGGATTTTTGTGACCCATCATATCGACCGATTGAACCAGGGTTTAAATTTATTAGAGAAAAATAAAAACACCTATAGCCTGGATTTCAGTGACCTCATGATCCAGCATGCTCGCCGATGAAACCAGGGTTTTCTTTTTCTCCCTTTTTTTTTGCTAAGAATCCCGCGCCGGGTTTCTTAAGAAACCAGGGTTTAAACTTTAAACTCTAATAATGATCCCTGATGTTTACCAATTAAACCAGGGTTTAAACTTTAAAGTCAAAAGGGAGGGGGGAGGGGGGAAGGGGGGGAGGGGAGGAGAAAAAACTCGCCCGGGATTACGTACCGCATGCATTTACAGTGATTCGACGTGTGTACCGATAAAAATAAACCAGGGTTTAAAATTCTAGTTTCTGAAAGACCTGGAGACCAACTCTTGTCCTGAATGCATCTGACCGCAATTACGGCCGGGCCTGAATGCATGTGACTGCAATCACGTCCAGAGCTCAATCGAAAAAGTCCTAGCCGTGCCTTTTCCATGCCCGAGTGCTGGTAAAGATGGTGTTCTGCTTTTTTTTTTTTTGAATGAATCATACACCCTCAGAGACGCATTTAGCCCTTGTCCGTTATGTACAGCCGGGCGCGGCTGCTCCGTGTGAATATGACCGCGAATGCTGTCAGATGCATTGACACTATCCTCATACTATCCTCATGCAAAAGTACCCTTTGTGTCTGTGTGTGCGCGAGAGAGAGAGACGGACGAAGACAACAGCGCGCAGATGGAGAGTGTCCCGCGGGGTGAGGGGAGGGGGGATAAAACAGTTCTGTTTAGTCGAATGATTTTTTTACTGGAAAAGGGGAGTCCATGGAGGGGGGGCGGGGGCGGTGGAGTCGCGGAAGAAAAAAAAAATGATCTGGATATGCATAATCGTATTCGTGTGCAATAGACGCGAGAGAGAGACAGACAGACAGACAGACAGACAGACAGACAGACAGACACAGACGGAGGCAGACACACAGACACAGAGAGAGAGAAGGGGGGGAGAAGAGAGAGAGAGACAGATGCACGGAGAGAAAGACAGACAGAGAGAAAGAGTGAGAGAAGAGAGACAGACAGGCATATGCAGACACGGAGAGAAAGGGAGGGAGAGAAGAACGAGAGACAAACAAACATACGCAGAGAGAGAGAGATGCAGAGGCATAAGCACAGAGAGAGAAAGAAAGACAAAGAGTGAGAGAGACATCAGTAAGACCATGATTCCTTCTTCGTCAGCCTCGTCATACCTGATTTGATACTGTCCTTTCCAGTCGCTGGATTGAGGTGACTTGTCCCGGCTGTGAGCGTTTCCCGACTGGGATCGGGTCGATGGCCTTAGCTTAGGCCAGTGTTTGTAAAAGAGAAACTTCCATAGCTCGTTCCCTTCGCCGTCGCCTAGAATCCTCCTCAATTGACGATTCAGCATAGCCAAAGCACATAATTCGCCCGCTGCAAAGCCCGCGGAATTCACTCCGTGCCGCAGGATCAGCCACCAAATCTCATCCGGAAGCACTCGACCACTTGATCGCCCCGCCTCCATCTCTCTCTCTCTCTCTCTCTCTCTCTCTCTCTCTCTCTCTCTCTCTCTCTCTCTCTCTCTCTCTC